ATGAAGAGGAGTAAAAATGTGAAATGTTATCAGTGAAGGAGCTTGTTTTGTAGCTTTAAGGACTACACAAGGGTAGTAGCGGTAGGCCAGGCACAGTGAAGAAGCCATTTCAATGGCTATTGCCATTCCCACCATTTCAGCAGCTATTTATATGTTGAGCAATCAATGAGTCTTCACAAAATACATGGATGACAACTTTCCAATCTCCAGAAAACCAACTTCTTCTTTTCCATTGACATAAATGTTAAACTTCAGAAATATTGCAGATCTCCCTCTTATGCTTTAGGCTACCAATCCTACAAAAGGAAAATTAATCCTTATTATTTTTCTTGATTTTTTCTTGGCCATCTTTCAACCATGATTTAATATCCAAGATCTGAGGAAAAATAACCTAAACCAAAACATACAAGGAACTGAAAAAAGGGAAAACACTAAAACCAGCTTTATCTTTTATTTAGACTTGAATTCATTTGATTGTCATTCTAAGTTTCCAACAACATAGTGAAAATAAATTTGATTGCTGAAAAAATTCAAGTCTTAAAATTTGACATTCATAAAAAAAGAAAGGAACAGCTGTGAATCAAAACAATATATATATATATATGATGGAGTATTTTTGTAAGAAATACCAGAACTTTTGTGGCTACCAAGAATTCTAAAAGGAATGAATAAGATAAAAGTTAGAATAGTTTAAGTTCCTAAATTAATTTGAGAAAAGCTAAGTTTTACCAAAACATCAACTTCGGGGATGTAAGCAATGAGGGGCCAATAGTCTCCTTCCTCCTCCATGCATCGTCGTTGCAGCAGCGGGCAGTTTATAATTTCGAGTCGTTCAAGCAAGGGAGGCAGGCCTTCCTTCGGCAAGGACCGAAAGTTGTCGCAGTTCCCAATAATTAACTCTTGAAGGGAGGCAGGGAGGGCTTCCTTTGACAGCGTCTGCAGCTTCGGACAATCCCTAATTTCTAAATGTTGAAGAGAGTTGAGGTTTTGGAGGAGCCCTCTAGATATGGATTTCATATTTTCAACATTACACACAGTAAGACTGGTTAGAGAAGTGGGAAGCACATTATCTGGAGGACATATCCAACAAATCTCAAAAGTTAGAAGCAAAGTGATGCTACTAAGGCCCCATTCTTGCATCGGCTTCTTCATATTCTCGCAATCAATTATCAGTTCTCCAAGGTTTGGGGCAGAACCACAGCATGGAATGGACTCAATCCTTGGGCAATGGCGAATTTTAAGAGATGTTAGGTTCGGAGGCAAACCACCTTCTGATATGTGCTCAATTCCTGGGCACTTGCAAATTTGAAGAGATGTTAGGTTCGGAGGCAAACCACCATCTGATATGGACTCAATTCCTGGACAATCTGTTATACATAATTCATCGAGAGAGTTGAGGACCTGCAGCTTATCAGGTAAGGACTTGAGATTCTTGCAACCAGATATACTAAGATTTCTAAGGTTTAAAGGAAAACCAGAGTCTGGAATGGACTCAATCCCTGGGCAATCAAAAATTCTAAGACATTTTAGGTTCGAAGGCAAACCACCGTCTGGTATGGACTCAATTCCTGGACAATTGATTATACATAATTCATCGAGAGAGTTGAGGTCTTGCAGCTTATCAGGTAAGGACTTGAGATTCTTGAAACTCTTTATGGTTAACATTTTAAGATTGGGGATAAACGGGCAAAGCGACTCCAAACCATCTAAACCATCTAACTTATCTATCCCTGAACAATTGTGGATATAACCTCTCTTATATTTTGACCAATCAGATTCTCCAAGCTCATTACCATAGAGTTGAATGTCTTCAAGTTCCCTATAATATTGCAGCATTCTCTGAGGGATAAATTCCAATTGCTTGCAGTCACGGACATAAAGGCGTTTAAAAGAATTGGGTAGGTGGCCAGTTGGAAAAGATTTCAGACAAGGACACTTGTCAATCCTTAATTCTTCAAGATAGGACACTTGACATGCATCACCATTATTCATCAATATTCCTTCTGGTAAAGATTCTAGCTTTTCACATTCTGTAATTTCCACGATTTTAAGCGTGGTGGGTAACTTGCCTCTTGGAAATATTCTGAGAGCAGGACATCTCCTTATATATAAGTATTCAAGTCGCACCATCATCATTATCTCAATAGGCAAGAACTCCAGTGCTTCACAATCATCTATGTGCAAAGTTTGAACACTGTTGGGAAGAAAACCTTGTTTTTTCCCTGTCAGTGATACAAGCAGAGGGCACCTGCTAATCTGCATCCTCTTAAGAAATGCAAGGTTTACCATATTGGCTCCTTCCTCCCACAAACAAGTGAGTTCATCACAACTTTCAATCTCCATAACCTCAAGTGCTATCAAGGACTCTACAAAACTCTTAGGCAACCAAATCAACTTAGAAATTCTGCTGATTCTCAATGTTTTGAGTGAGTTGAGGTCAACCATACTCCTCAAGACGGCCTCACTACATCCTGTAACACCCAACTCTTCAAGTGATGGAAGACTTATTGGTGAATATATTAACTTTGGGCATCTGGCAATCACTAGCCTTTTAAGGACAGGAATGCATTTTGGAAATTTTCCTTTCAATATGGGGCAATCTCGCAAATTCAAACTCTCCAATGATGGAAAAGCTGAAACTGAAGAAGAATTCTCCTCGTCAAGCATCATAGTTTGTATTGCATGTATGCCTGCCAACAAAAAAAAAAAAAAAAAAAAAAAAAGCAAAATCAATGGTAAAAAAAGAACATAAAAACAAGCAACGTTAACTAAAGAATCAAGAGAATTTGCTTCTATGCCTTCAATGATCAAACTTTTGAGTCGTGGTAATCGCTGGAGTGATGTTAATGAAGTGCTTTTTTGACAATTGTTGAGCTTCAAGAACTCCAAGTTGGAAAATGATGGATCACCTATCCAAGATGGGAATTCCAACCCACCAAAATAATTGATTGTCAATCTTTTCAAACCATGATAAGGCTTTAACAAGCTGAGAACTTGCAATTCAGATCTTTCATTTCGGTTGTTGAGGAAATCAGAAGACCATTCTAAGGATAAATGATCTAATCCCTCAATCTCAAACAAATTCACCTCCTTTGCTTCATTTGCAGCCACAACATTTTGTAAATCCAAAATGGAAAGCTGGCCTTGAAGACCTGACAAGTTTTTCAAATCTTTCACTCTTGGTCCTCGAGCATCTCCAACAATAAATTTTGACAATGTTACAAGTCTTGTCAATTTGCTGATTTCTGATGGGAACTCTTTTAAAGATGGTGTCGTAACTAAATCAAGATGTTGGAGATCAAGTAGATTTCCAATAGTGGTAGGCAAATTGGAAAACCACCTGCAGCCCCTTAACAACAATGTTTGTAAGTAAATAAGATAACCCACTGACTCAGGAAGACTTTCAATACCTGTCCAAGACAAATCAATGAATCGCAGATGCTTCAAGTCTCCAATTTGATCAGAGAGCTCCGTTATCTTATAATTCTGAAGAGACAACACCCTTAAACATTTTAGATCTTTCATCAAATCTTGCAAGAGTGTGTTGGATAGCCACACTTTCTCAAAGCCTAGCTGTTGTAGAGGTAGAAATGTACGTAAATTCTTCTTTTTTTTCAAGAATTCAAATCTTTTTGACACTAAATATTCAACAGGAAATAATAACAAATGACGGACTCTTTGAAACCTCATATTTGATATATCTCCATCTGATTCAAGGGTGTAGCATATATCTCCAGCAACATGCAAGGCTAAATCAACCATCAAGTCATGCATCACAAACGACGACTCATTCCAACTGGACCGTTGAAAAAAAGCCCTCGACAGTAGCTCACGAAAGGACTGATGACCAGGGGCTTTCATTTTCTTCATCGTTAGTGGTTGTTGTTGCAAGAATCCTTCTGCCATCCATAATAAAACCAACTCACCTTCATCAAATTCATAATCTTTAGGAAACATAGAACAATAGCCAAAGCATCTCTTCAAATGGGAAGGAAGGTGATTATAGCTCAATTTCAGAGCAGGAAGAATGCTAGTATTACCAACTGGTAGATCCCATATCTCACTGTTCAATATGTTTTCCCATTCAGCAAGATCTGCCTTACCACGCAAGAGGCCACTAAGGGATTTTATAGCCAATGGCAATCTTTTGCATTTTTCAACAATTTTCTCCCCTACTCTTTTAAGATCTGGATATTCATCAAAGTTTTCTGCCCCCAATGAAATTTGAGCAAATAGTGACAAACAAGCATCATCCTCTAGCAACGACAAATTATGAACTCTGCCATCTCCTCTTATCATCCTCCCAATATTCTCGCTGCGAGTTGTGATGATTATTCTACTTCCTGGTGCTCCTTTTAGGAAAGGCCTTTGTAAGTTCTCCCATAATCCATAATCTTCATTCCAAATATCATCTAGCACAAGTAAAAACTTTTTGCCTGAGAGCTCATCTTGCAACTTTTCTTGAAGTGGAGTTAGCTCTTTTTTATCACAATTTGCTGTGGGTACTTGCTCTAAGATGGCTCTTGTAATCCGATAAACATCAAAATCATCAGAAACACAGACCCATGCTTGCAATCCAAACCTACCCTTCAATTTGTCATCATTGTAAATAAGACGAGCAAGAGTGGTCTTTCCGATTCCTCCCATTCCAACAATGGGAATAACAGAGTATGGCTCATGGTTGCCTTCATCATTGAGCAAAATCTGAAGAATATCCTCTTTATCATTTTCTCGACCATAGACATGTTGCTCAAGCAAAGGAGTAGAGGGCAATCTTTCTGTAGTAACTTCGTGGGACTCATCTCCAGTTCTCAAAGCCAAACTGACCTCGTTCAGTGAACGTATGTTTGCTTCAATACGTCGCCATCTAGCAGTTATCTCCTCCACCCTGGATGCCATCTTTCGTTCTCCTTCAGCCGTAAATCTTCCATCCTTGTTAAACAATTTAGGAAAGATCAGTTTCTGACGCTTACTGGTGCTGGCTTGGGGTTCTGCAAACCGCTCAAACCTCTTGGCATCAATGTCGACCTCTTCAAGTATGTCCTCCACATCATAAAACAAATCCTTGAGATCAGCAAGCCATAGCTTCACCGAGGGGCCTCTTCCTTGCTTATCTTCAGCATCTTCAAGTAAAGCATCGATCTTTGGCAAAAGATTCCTCAAATTTTGCAGCTCGACACAAACTTCCTCTGGTAAATTCAGCCATTCACTTACAGAAGAACTCAACTTCGAGAGCAACAACTCGAACGCTGCTGACATAAAGGCGCCTCCTACAACTTCCATAGTTCGACTTGAATGGGAGAAGCAATATTCTGCAAGAATGATGTGATTGATCATTTGAACAAGCCTTCAATTTATCTGGCATCATATATTAGTACTGTTTTGAAAATTTTGTCTTATATCTATTTATAATGAAATTGAAAAATAAGAACAAAAGAAATAATAAGATCTGAAAATGCATTTTTTTTGTCCCTGATAAAATTAAGAAATAACTAGACAAAAAATAACAAGAAATATATGTTCGTATTGAAATTAAATTATACAGATTTGTTTCTGAACTCGAGGGTAGCAACGGTAATATTTGAAAAGAAAAGCAAAGGAAGACATACAAAGTTACAAACAAAAATCAGAAGCACATACGTAAATATAATATAAAATAAGTACCTTAATTTCAATGCTACAAGCTGAGAAGATGCCTTCCAAGTTCGAACAAGATGATAAAAAAAAAAGAGTGATGAGTTTGGATGGTGGAAGAGGCAGAATGCAGAGACGGGTCTTAATAGGATTATATTCTGCTTTGATTTTAGTTGAGTGATTGCTCTTCTTTGATTGATTCCATCCCACCGGTTTCTACTGCAAACAAGGCAAAAGGCCGACAATTTATCTGAGTTGCATAAACCAAAAATCATATCATAAAGAAAGGAAAAAGGCGGATGTATAAACCATAAACTATATGGAGATGCACATAATTAAGTAATTACATAAGTACTTTCTCCGATTATTTTTAATGGTGCTAATTTGATTTTGTGATTTTTAAATAAAAATTTAATATATTATAAAAATAATAATAGATTTTTTT